ATCTCTGCACTGGTGTGCCCTGCTGAGCTGTGCAAGGGTTAATGAATTCCTGCTTATCCAGCTTTTTGAAGATGAAAAGCGCCGTGGAAGGGCTCTGTTATTGTTAGCACGTACGAAGAGGTCTGTACCAGACCCAACCGTATTGTGTTTGGCCACTGGATGTCACAGCTGCTCAACACACAATGCAGCTGAAAGCAGAAAGGAAAAGTGCTGACCCAGCACCGGGCAGCAGCACTTTCCAGAGCCTTTACTTGTTCTGTGCTCGGTGTTTGTTTGTTTGTTTGTTTGTTTGTTTGTTAAGGGGCTTGGGGTCTTCTCCTCTGCTTGTGCGCTGCTAACGTTGATTTTCAGAGATGGAGCAGCAGTTGTGCTTCCCCTGCCTGCCATACCACTGGGAGATGAGCAGCAAACTGAGCATTTTTAAGGGGAGCAGTGCAGATTTGTCTAAAGCACTAATGACACCGTGAGCAGGTATTGGCACATGCTGCCTTGCCACTGAGTTATTCCTTCTCTGTCCCAGCCAGTGCACAGCACAGAGCCCTGGGATGATGGAAACATTTCTCCAAGGCTCTCTCTCGACACAGCTCCTTCAATCCCCACACCCAGACCACATTCCAGTGCTCTCACACTCAATGCAGTGGCAAATTTGGCCTCCCCCTTCCTAATCCTGCCTTCACACTTTGCTTTCTTCCAGTCTCAAGCAGAGATCCAGAATGTGAAATCCCCTTTCAGCAAAGTCTGTAGGGCAGCCCTAAAGAGACATTACAAGAGCTGTAATGACATTTCCTGGAAATTAAAATGAAGAGGGATTATTTGACCATGTTCTCTCCTTTTTATAGCATCACATTGTCCTTTTCTCCACCTTGGGGAAATGGCAGTGAAAGGCTGCTCCTGCCCATGGTACAGCGAGGTGATAACCACCCCAGAAGTGATGTGAACATTAAAAAGGGAAAACTATTTTAAGATAATCCAAGGGTTACAGCTATAACTAAGAGTAATTGGCTGAAACTGAGCAAAAGAAAATTTAGGTTGACAATGAACTGCAGGTAGCTAATGCTGAGATCTGTTAGACCGTGAAATGGAATTCGCAGAGGAAACCTCTCAGCTTTCAAATGGGCAAATCCTGCCTTTAGGAGCACTGGTGTAGATCTCTGGTGTCTGTCTCTGACTGCCTCAAAGCCCATTTCTTCCACAAAGCTTCAGCAGGATCAATAAAGGTGTCTGAATTTATATCAGAAGAAGGTAAGGTGTCCCTGCCCATGGCACAGGGTTGGACTAGAAATTCTTTAAGGTCCCTTCCAAACCAAACCATTCTGTGATTCTATGATTAAATTTAGTCAAATACATCAAAATATTCTATAAGATGAAGGAGGTCTAAAGGGATTGTGTGAATTGGAGGAACGAATTCCAGCGTTTTTCTACCTCTGTGATCTCTGTATGTACTTGAAAACCAGGGGCAAAAAGGGAAGGAAAAAAAAGAGCATGGGCAAAATATCAAAGAAAAGAGGGCCAGTTTTGGAAATAAGATGTAGAAACATGACAGGAATTGTTGAATAAAAGAATCTCATGTTTCAATCTGCACAGCTATTGTCAGCTTTCCTCATGGGTCTGGGCCTGCCAGCACTGGCTGATCTTTGCCTTTCATAAAACTTGTGTAGGCTCTGGTTACCTTCACTCATCCAGCACAACCTCGGCAGAGAGAGCTCTGTTTGAAGAGCTTTTAGAGTCACTTAGAAAAACCTGGATGGCCTGATTGAAGGCACTCTGTCCATCTCACTTCAAACAGCCTGTTCCTGGTCAAATGTTTGCTGGGCTGGGGAGTGATGCAGCTCTTACTGCAAGCCCTGATGGAATTCCTGCTGATTCAGAGGCAGAGGAGTTAACCCTTTCATGTTCTGGGTCAAAGGAGCACTGAGGTTTGAGCCAGCTACTTCAATGCCACATCAAGGTTTTAATGTGGCCACCAATACTCAGAATGTCAGACTTGTGTGAGCTTTAGGCCAGCGAGGACACAGAGAATAGCCTGGGAGAAGCAGGATTTAAAAGATGGCAAAGAGTCAGGGGAAACTGTAGAGATAAAAGTGAAGTGCATGGAAGCCAATGATGTGGGATAAAAGGTTTATTTCCTACTGCAGTCCAGGTGGGAGGGGGAAGGCTGAGGTCTGTGCAAGTTCCCTGCCTCTGGGAGGAAATCATGCTGAGAATATTCATGGCTGACACACAAACATCAGATTTCCTCACTGGCTCAATCTCAGTGCAGAGATGGGTCCTGTTTCAATATTCACCTGTGACCCCCAGCTCACCTCAGTGCTGCTGTGCTGCCTGGAGCTCCCAGGCACTGTGTCCATTCCTCTCTCCAGCAAAAGAGCTGACCAAGCCTCAGGCCAGTCAGGTTCAATACCACATACACTAAAAAAGCTCCAAGAACCAAAAAAGCTCCAAGAACCAGTGACCAGTGGTTGATATGGTCAATACTTTATACAGGAGGATTTCCATAACATTCAGCTTATAGTTAGAAGCTCAATATCCAAGCACATTTAAAGAACTTAATTAAAATTATTTTTCTGTCCTAACCCCAAAACAAATTCATGCTTTGTGCCCTTAGTAAATCCTTTCCACGGATTGCTGTGTCTGCATAGAATCACAGAATGGTTTGGGTTAGTAGGGACTTAAAGACAAGAATTGGAGTTAACAAAATGTGGGGTTTGGATGTGCTGAGCACCCACAGCTCCTGCTGATGTCAAGTGAAATGTCACAAAAGTTGCAAAAGCTCCATTAAAAATTAATTCACTGTCATCTCCAGTTTCCTGGCATTGGTACATCCCTGAATGGCTTCATTTCAAGTCTTTTGTGCAGGCTGGGCTGGCTGATCAATAAAGCACAGGCAAGGGAAGCAGCTGTGAAGGGTCACTGTGTGCCATCCCTGTCCCTGCCCTGCTGCACTCACAGTGACACGAGCTGACCTCCTGTGCCTGACTCTTCTTCACACCCTCCTGTGCTGCTCTGTGGAATCCTGAAGTGCAAAGAGATATAAAACCTCAAAATTTCACCCTCAGCTAATTCCAAAGCCTGTTGACACAACTGGATACACAAGGATTAAGAAGTGCATTGCAGGGCAGGTTTGCTTAGTTTGGTCCTTGCACAGTTCAGTGCAACCGTCAGAATAAATGACTTCTTCAGAGGAGAGAAGGAAAAAACACCTTTGGTGAATCAGCTGAATGTGTTACAGCAGTTCCCAAAGATTAAATATGCACTGCACAAACCAGCAACCCAGGAAAGGCCTTTTGATGTTAACAATTCACTTGCAAAGAATAAGAAAATATCTGAGTAAAATACCTGCTTCTGTTCTTCAGCACAGAAACCTGAGCTCCGATGGCACCTGTAGCTCACCTGTGCCTCTCACTGTTGAATTGCTGTTATTATTCATAGAATCACAGAATGAGCAGACTGCCTGTGCTGCAGCATCTTAGGGCTTGTCCTGTCCAAACTGCCACCCAAACTGCCCCAAACTGCCCCAAACTGCCACACCTTGCCTTCTGTGCAGCTCAGAACAGAGCTCTGGCCCTCACCCCCAGAGTCACCTCAGTTGCTGCCACCTCGCTGAGTGGCTGAAAATCACCTTGTTCCTGAAAATAATTGCCAATTTTATCACAAGTGGCAGGGAGCTGGGGACAGAAGTGCTGAGATTTCACTGATCTGAGCTTTCTTGCCTCATGTTTAATATTGCTGCCTGTCACCTAAAACCAACAGCCCAGCTATGCTGCTTTTGTTGGAATCTCTAGTTCTTTACCAAAGAAGGTAAAAATTCCATTCCTGGGGAGATTTCTGCTCCCTTTTTGTTTTGAAACCATGGGTTTAGGAGCTGGGGGGCTACAGCTGGGAAGGAAGGGCTGCCAGCAGTGTCATTGCTGAGGCAGGAGGAGGTTTTTCAGAGGGAATGGCATTTGCCTGGTGACAGGATACAAAAAAGCAGGGAGAGAATCCATGGTCTGTTCCCTGATCTGCCAGATGACTTTTACTGCACCATAGACAAGTGTTTGCTTGGGACACATTTTTAAGGAAATCAAATGTCTGAAGAGATACAGAAGTCCACAAGAGCACCTGTCACCTGCTGGTTTTTATTTGAACTCCTGTATGTTTTTTGAAAAGCCATCAGGGTTTTAGTCTCTTGTATGGTGTCTGTATCTTTCAAGTCTAAATAGTTTTTGAGAGCTCTGAATTTTTCAAAGGTTGCAAATCTCTCCCATTCAAAACTAGATTTTCAGTGATAAGGGAAGGTGTTGAAAGCAAAATGCTTTGAATGCTAAGGCTCAGGGATGTGGAGTGCTTTTAAACCCAGTCTGAGGAGTCTGATTTTCAGAGGAGATAACCGTCTACAGTTTTGATTTCTTGTAAGATTGTGAGTGCTCTGCACTTTTGAAATCCACTCCTCTAAATGCCTTCTGCCTTGGCTCCTTGCTGTGTGAAGGGAAGCAGGTCTGAGGTCTGGGCTGGCTAGTTTTGCTTACAAAGCTCTGTTGTACTCACACTTGCATTGAGGAGCTTTTCAACCCATTCATCAGGAATGAATGGACAGGAAAAGTGGGCAGAGCTGTGCAGGGGTCAGACAGCCAGGTCAGACCCCAGGGCATCAGCTCTGGCCATGGGGGACACCCTGTGCAGGGACAGCTCAGCCAGAATTGCCAATAGAGCTGCACAAACCTGCTGGGCTGGGTGAGGGAGGGCAGCAGGGGTACTGCAAAGGCCAGGCCTGGATAAACCAGCATTTGGGCCAGCTGAGGGTGGGTAAATCTGCATTTGGGCCAGCTGAGGGTTGGTAAATTAGCATTTGGGC